GGCGAATAAAGATGGTTTTGTAGATATCCTTCCGCACCTTGCAGCCAGCGACGAATGGTACGTGGTGATTTGCCAAGGGTATTGGCAATTTCATCAAACGAGGCTCCTGCGAGTGAGAGTCTGAACGCTTCCTGCGATTCTCGTGGGAGTGATTGATATGCGTTTTCCGCTAACTCCATTACGGCTACGACGTCTTCATGGGATGGAACAATGTCAGCGGCTAAGGTTAGTTGGCCGACTTCTCTGTCGATGGAGCGTTTCGCAGCTTTGCCTTTTTCTGTTTGGCGTCTCAGCTTGTTAAGGGAAACAGTGGCTAAAAGCCGCCATAAGTCGCCTGGGTTTTCCAGCGTGAACTGACCGCGGCAAGCACGAATAAAGAAACTTCCCAATGCTGATTGGACGACATCTTCAGCATCTATTCTCGCTTGCAGTTTTTGGGCTAATTGACTGCGAACTAGGGGAATCAAACGCTTGGTATACCGATTTAAGATGCACTCCGCAGCATCATGGTCACCCGTCTTTAATCGCCCGAGTAACTCGCGTGACGTGGGCGTATCTTGCTCTCCAGACGGGTCTTTCTCGGATAATTTCCAAATCTTTCGAGATTCTATGACCAAAGGGAAAGAGAAAACGCATGTACCCGTTGGGCATGGTTACTCACCATGCTGTTAACGACACGCTCTAGAAAAGGAAGGTTCTCATGACGTTCGTAGTGACTGCCCCTTGCAATGGATGTAAGTATATCGACTGTGTCACCGTTTGCCCGTGTGATTGTTTTCGAGAGGGAGAAACGATGCTATTTATCGATCCAGAGTCATGCATCGACTGTGCGGCTTGCGAGCCAGAATGTCCCGTTGAGGCGATTTACCACGAGGATAGCGTTCCTTCTCATTGGCACGACTACATTCGCCTCAATGCAGACATGGCATCAACACACCCTGCAATCGTGGAAAAGAAAGAGCCGCTTGTCGAATAGGACATGTGGCTTAAGACAACTTCATCAATCGGTCGTGGTAGGGACCGTCGCCCATGAGGTCGAGGCTTTTGGCCAGGCGGCGTTGGTCTGATTTGCGGGGAAGTTCTTCGAGGGCGGTCAGGACGCGTTCGATCTTTTCGGTTTCCAGGCTGGCCGTTAGCGGCAGGCCTAAGCCCATGATGAATTTGGCTCGCTGCAGATCGGCAAACTTGGTCGGATCGTCCTGCATCGCTTGAAAGAGTGCAGTGACCGCTTTTTGGGACAGCGCGAGTTCGTCCCAGTCATGCTCTTGGGCGGCGTCCAGCATGTACAAGTATTGGTAAACCGCAAACGACATCGGGCCAGACGTAATCCCGACTCGCTGCTTGTTTTCGATGTTGGACCGTGGTCCTTCGCTGAGTGCTTGAGCCAGGTGAGGATCCCAGCCTTGCACGATCTTTAGCTTGGCCAGCCGTGGGCTGAGGAGATACTCGCGAGTGCTTTTCAGGTAGTCTGCTTCGGTAATCTTCGCGGCCACAATCGCGTCGCCACCAGGCAGATCGAAAAGCTTTTCCGTCGCCGTCGCAGGAAGCGGAACGCCGCTGACATCGGGAATGGAGTAAACGCCCACGGCCATGCCTGCGGCGGCGATCATCTCGACGAGTGGACGCATGTTCTCGACGATCTGGGCGTCGGTGGCATGGGCCGGAAGATTGGTTCCGGGACGAACGAACACGACAGGGTAATTATGTTCCCGCAAAAGCGCGACTAGCTTCTCGTTTGCCTCAGGTCCATCTTCGGGACGTAGCAACGCCATACGAACCAGCGACGGAGCGTTGGCTTTCGCGGCAACTTCAAACCACCGTTCTAATTCTTCGACGGTACGCAGATGGCCATGCCCTGTGGAAGCTGCCAGCAAGACCGCTTCCGCACCAGCGGCGGCCAGCTTTTCGAGATAGCTGACCAGGCGATCTTCGTCCAGTTTTCGCCGCGGAAGATCGCCGCAGGTCGGATCGAAACAAGCCACCGTGGCAGCTGGATAGTTCTCGATGGGATTGCTAAGAATCTTCTGGGCTAGATCGTTCATTGGGGCACGCTCGGCAATAAAAAAGGGTGAGTCGATTTTGGCGACTCACCCTAGCTTAGAGCATCTGAGGTGAAATGAAACACCTTGATTGGTTGGCTTGGTGAAGGGAGCCC